AGTCACCCCCCCCACTAGAAACAGTTCTTTACACACCATCTGATAAGGTTTGTTATGTGACAATCCCAGTTTAACCTTTATTTCTTTCATATTGTCCTTATGGCCATAGCTTTAAAAAAATAAGATCAGAATGGCTGCTTCAGAGCTTTTCTTGTCTTCTTTTTACCTCTTCTGTTGTTCGTCAAACATTAAGTATCTATTGTCGGTGGCCACTACCCCTCCACTCAGGTTGGTAATTGGATGAGGGGGGACAGTGGCCACTAGACAATAGGAGATACTGAACTTTCTTCATGTGGCTTCCTGTACATGAAACATCTTCCATTTATTCAGTAAGCCATTCTGTTTCCTTCTTTACACCCCTTTTCAAGATCAACTTCTTCAGCCAAATTTTACTTGGCCAAACCTAGCCTTAGCTGATGTGCTTTCTCTACTGCTGCTAAGCCTTCATCTGACCTAATGCAAATTGCCACTCTTACGTTTTTCAATCTCCAAGGCATGGTCAAATAATTCCAAGTTCTGTAGAGCCCTCGTACATAGCTGAATAAAGTAGTATCAGCAGTCTTCGCATTTCCACCCCCGCCCCATGCCGACAAAGAGAACAAACAATGTTGTCTTTCAGCTTTGATAATCTGTTCAAAATAAACACTGTATATGTAATATGTGTAAGATAGTGTGCAACTCTGAACAAATACTCTTGTCTTTCTGCTCTGCTCTTCAAAATAAAACTGAGTTATATATAAAATGTGTAAAATAGTGTGCAACTGTAAAGTTTATTGTGGAGCTGGAACAGACCTATAAAAGTACTCATCTATTAAAGTAAACAGTCTTAGCAAGTTAGCATTCCCTTTATAAAGAACTGGAAAGCTCCAGAGAGTGAATCCAGAGGATGAGGAGGTTTATCTATATTGGAAACAGATAACAATAGCAGTAAGATGCATGTTGAGAATTTCATCATGAAACCTAAGCCCATTTATCTAAGCCGCTGTGATGGAAATGGAGCAGCTGTGAGGCATTCTTTCATTGTAATGGCAAAAAAAGAGAGCCAACAACAAAACAAGCCCTTAGCAATCCAGAATAGCTAGAGACTGGAGATGGCAAACAAATGCCTCTTGTCACTTCTGTGTACGTCCTACATAACTTGACTATTTTGGCAGGCTGGCTATTTTTATGCACTAGCAACTGAGGTGCTGGTAGAAGAAAGATAACACTTCTGATTCTTCACAGAAGCTGATGGACAGACACTGGCATTTATCATTGGAGATTTTTATCTAGACATATGCTCCTGATAATGTTCTCTGCATAATTTACTAGCATCTGGAAACCATTCCAAACTTAGCTCTGCACAAGAGATGTGAGTGGGCAAGGTGAGAAATCCACTGAATTCCTTTGGTCCACATGAGCAGTCACATTTTTAAAATGAGTGGGTAGGTTATTCAGCACATTTTTAAATGTTCAACCAGCTTTGCAATAAATGACTGAATAACCCAACATTCTTCTCCTTTCTCTAGCTAGATTCTCTGATTCTTGGCTTTTTACACAGAGTGCTCAGAAGACATACATTGTTGGACAATAGAGATCTGATTCAAGATTCTCACTCATCCATAAACCTAACTGAGTGCATTTGGCAAGTCACATTTTTCAGCCTAGCCTAATTTACAGGATTGTGGTAAAGATCAAATGAACTATCCTGAATTCTTGAGGGGAAACTGGAATACAGCTGGTGTAAACTAAATAAAGAGGTATAATGAGCCACTCTAGGCTAAGGCGACCCTGAAATAACTCCCTGTAAAGTACTTCAGTAGACAAAATGGGTAACACAAGAATTTTGCTCCTAAGACTATTGATAAAGAGCACAACTAAAGTAATGGCTTTAATTCTCAGTGTACAACACAGGAATACCTGTGACTTCCATCACAGTTGTTGCAAAGATGAATTTTAAAAATAACAACAGCAAAAGTACTTTACTGCATTGAAAAATAAAATGAAACTTTTTTTATTATTATTAGCAACAGAGAATTCTGTGAACTTTATATGAGCCTAACCTCAATAATCTTAAATTTCCCTAAGGTACAACTCATGAACTGAGCAAGGGGCAGTACCTTACCCTAAAATTTCAGGCAGAGACCTTCTGTCTGAATGCAAGTTAATTCTATTTCCCCCTGAAAGCTGACTGCTGCAATCCAATCGCCACTGCATTTTAGGATTAAGGATGCTACTTTAACTGTAGATGTGCAGAGAAAACACACTTGTTTGGGTTTTTTACTTGGAAGGAAGGAGGAACCTGTTATTGATTGCATCTATCACACACAAGCAGAGGAGCTTTTAAGCCACCTCCTGTCAGTGCCATGTCTCCCTAAATCTTCCCCTAAATCTGAGATAATAAAAACTCCCCTTTTCATGGCAGACAAACAAGAGTGCAGAAAATATTCCCAGGGTTGTGATCTAGCACATTATTATCTCAAAAAAGGAAGCCTCCTCAGTTTAGACCAATGGTCTATAACTGACATTTTGCCTTGGTGGATTATTCACAACATAAAGCAGCAGTTTAAACCTTTTGGGAGCTTAGTTCTTACTATCACATGCAAGAGCAGGAATCCTCCTTCTCCATATGTCCTACTCGAGTTTCTCAGTAACAGTCAACCACTGAAGATTACACCGAATTAAACAGCAAGAACTGTTTGTACACCTCTGTTAAAAAATTAGTCAGGGTATTTCTATTACTGTTATTAATTTCTCCAATTACACCTTTTGCTTACTTTTTGTACTAAACTCATAATTCAGCCAAACGTTCTTGAAGTTTAAATAATTGGCATTTGAGGTCCTTTTTTGTCATTCATCATAGTAAATGTATTACTCTGTAATACATTTTACTGCATATGGGTTGGAAAAAAATATAAATACTTTGTTCTAAGTTAATCTCTTTGTTGATCACAAATGGCAGAAGGATATAGATTGATTCTGCAAAAAATATTCAATTTATAAAGAAAATTTCTGAAAATGTGTGTGTTAATATGTAAAGAACAAACGGCTGCATTGTCTATAATAATAAAAATACAAAATAGATGGTGAATTACTTTTCAAAGTTGAGTCTTATTCACAATTAAGCATCCCTAAAGCCATCAAAACACATCTATCTTTGCAAGAGATTGTACTACAATGCAAATTTAGACTTTCACAAAAACACCAAGTAGAACTTCACTGACACAATCTTCCAATTCATTTATACAAGCCATTACTTGAAAAAGAAACTTACAATGTTTAACATATCTGTGTGCCACATGAAAAAAAATCAAAGTATTAGATTTTACATTATTACATTTAACATACATAATGAATAATAAGTAACCATCACTACATGTTTGTAGCATAACACTAAATATTAATACTATACCAAGTAAGCATAATCCTAGGCATGCTAAGTCAGTACTAAGCCCTAGGCTAATAATGTTCCTACCAAGATTTAAGAAAATCCTACTTACTGCTGCTTTGTAAATATCATCCATAATTACTTATTTTTGGTCAGGAGCTTGTCCCGAGTGATAAAGTATAACAGACTAACTTCCAGTCTTTGCCAGCTTTCTGTCCCTTCAAGCTCCACTTATATAGCAGGCTATCAGCCCTAAATATGTCAGTCAGGAATTGCTGATCACGACCCAGTCCAGCACAGAAACACCCACGAAAGGCTATGCTCTTCATTCCAAGCAAGTTTCTTCACCCTGTCTTAAGGGGAGGTATTCAAAGTTTGTTACAGCTGACATTTCCAAAGCCACATCCTGATTCCACTGATGTTTTTGTTTTACTTTAGTCACCGCAGAACTGAAGGACAATCTGATTCTTGCTACACTTATGCTTATTCAAGAATTAGATGACACCTGGGTAGAATGTTGGATATTATGGTCCATATTTGCTGCCTTTAGCTCTGTTTTCCCCCCATCCACCCACATAACTGAGAGGTGACAGCAAAACGAGTGCATGCTGAAACATGCACCCCCTTTTCCCTATCAGCAGAACTTTCAGAATGTCCTACAGGAAGACCTGTCTTTTCAAGGAACATTTTCCAAGATTTCACATGGGTACTACAGTACCAGCAACTGGAATGTGGGCCTGGTGTGCTTACAACCAGGCACTTTAACAGCTAAGAGGCATATTTACAGTACAACCACTCGCTCAAATGATCCACCTCACATTGTTTGTTGTTTGCCTGAAAACAGTCTTCACTATCAGGGGAAGCTTTCAAAAAGCTATTCCTCAGAAACATGAAGGAAGTCTTCAAATGGAGAATTGTACCAAGCGATGACCAGTATGGTTCGACTGACTGAATTCATGCAAGCACTAGTGTGAACCAGTTAAATTCTTACCTTTGGCAAAACAATTAGCTCTGTCACATTATATCATTCAGGGACAGACCTAGGTATCGAGATTATGTTCTATTCCAAAAAAGACAATCTCTTTCTCCCCCTCCACTGGTTGAAAGCGCCCTCCTCTGTTCAGCTAGGTTGCATACACCTTGGGAAAGCTACCCAAAAATTTTACAAAAATGAATGTAGCATTTCCTTGGTTTTGAACTCATCAGAGGTAGACAAACAATAGGCAAGATCACTTGCCATGGATATATTTCCCTCATTTATTTATACTGGCCAGCATTAGTCTGCTCATTTAGTGATAATACTGCCAGGGTGCCTCACCTAACATCAGCAAGAACAATAATAAATCATTAACAAATGTTCTCTTTCTGCTTAAAAGGTCTTCTCTCTCCATTGCTTCACTGTGATAAGGAGTTGCTACTCTAAGTTCTCCTACTTCCTCATTAACTGTCCTCCGTAGTCTGAATGGGGGATGGCTTTACAGGGCTGTTGTAAAATACACTGAATCATATCCTAAAATGTCAAGATAATACTAAACTACTCTGTCAGGCCACTGTAATCCATTTGATCTTTCAGCCACAGTGATAACCCCTACGTTATGGGACAGTGTCTTTCAAATTCCAAAGCAGGGCCTCTACTAAAATTCATAACTGCATGAGAAATGGAATTTGTTCTCGAAGGCTTTCACGGCTGGGATCCGATGGTTGTTGTGGGTTTTCCGGGTTGTTTGGCCATGTTCTTAAGGTTTTTCTTCTTCCTAATGTTTTGCCAGTCTCTGTGACCAGCATCTTCAGAGGACAGGAGTCAGAATTCTGTCTGTACTCTGGTACAGACAGAGTACAGAGTTCTGATTCCTGTCCTCTGAAGATGCCGGCCACAGAGGCTGGCGAAACATTAGGAAGAAGAAAAACCTTAAGAACACAGCCAAAGAATCCAGAAAACCCACAACGACCAACAGAGATGGAATTATTAAAAATTCCACTGCAAAAATTTTTCTTAAAATGAAGGCAGTGACCATACCACATATTTGGAGCCACGGCACAATTTTTGAAAAATTTAAAAAAAGAATGCAAAAAATTACTAATACCTCTAAAGTTACAATGTCTGAGGCTCAGTTTCTGAACAGGTATATAAAGTTGCTAAAAGTGTGGAGAAATGGAAAGAGGATTTTCCCCTTGTTTCATAAACCAGGAATCTATTGAAACTGAATGGTAGGAGATGCAGGAGAATGTTGAATAAATCGTGCAGTTTGCAACTTGGATATACTGTAAAGTAATGGTAACCAATCTGGATGGCTTGAAAAATTGGTCAATTTCCTGTGTTAATATTCACAATTAATATATTTCCAGAATGTTTTCAGGAGCTAGCTATGTTAGGGAGTGACCATAGCAGCAAAAAATTGCAGGAAATTCTACCTGTTTGAGATGGACCAATTTTGCATTTCCCCCCATTGATCACACAACACATTGAGAAATGCAAATTAGCCTGGAATTCCCCCCCATCCATAGTTTTTCTCCTCTACCAGTGAAGCTTCTATTTCTTAAAATACACATCCTTTCACATTGGTTCAGATGTGTAATAACTTGAACCAATACAGAAAGAGAGGACAAGCTGGATGCATGCTTTGCCAAATACCTTCCATGTTGCCTCTTCCCTTAAGAGAACAAGCTGTGTGCATGCACATAAAAGCACATACACGGCAGCACCAGCACATATCCTCCACCAAGACTCTCTTTTTCACAGCTTCTCTTCAAGGGCCCTGGATACTTGAAGGACCGCCTCCTTCCATATGAGCCTACCCGGACTTCTCTTCAAGGGGCAGCCCTCCTGTCTTTCGTGTTTTAAAGCTGAAGAATGAAGCTTTTAGATTTTTTTTAAAAAAAGATAATAAAGTAACTATATGAGGAAATGGAATAAATAAGTCTTTTAACTATTTTGTTTAAGGCAGTTCCTTGTAAGAGGGTTGTATCTAGAACTGCTAGCAAGCAGACAGCAAAAGGGGGGGGGCTTCTCCTGTTTTCTGTGTGGCCCTGTAAATCACAGTAAATCGTTTACCCGAAAATAAGACCTAACCTGAAAATAAGTCCTAGTATGATTTTTCAGGATGCCTGTAATATAAGCCCTACCCAAAAAATAACCCCAGTTAAGTAAAACCCCGCCCTTCACCACTGTGTAGCAACCAGAAAAAGACATGACTGTATTTGAATAAATGTAGATTGTTGTACATGAAAAAAAATAAAATATCCCCTGAAAATAAGTCCTTATTTGTTTTTTAGAGCATAAATTAATATAAAACCCTGTCTTATTTTCAGAGAAACATGGTAAATTATCTGTTGTGACTTCAGTGAATGATTCCACATTTCCCTCACTGTGTAGTCACATATTTAACTTGTTGTAGTATTGATTGAAAAACAAAAGTATTCTGGCACTTTAAAAACTAACAAATTTTAGTAAAAGCTTTCATGGATTACATTTTGTGAGGCCCCCGAAATAGAGGCCTTAGTGGGAGTGCCGTCGCTCTCAAAGAGAACCCTACACACCCAGACATCCCCACCTCCGTCCCCAACGCGTCGGGAAGAGAAAGGCGTGGAGACCCCTGATTGGGAACAAGTGGTCGCCGAACCCCTTACCTTGAATAAGGGGGTAGATACCCAAGACCTGGAGGCGACACTGAAAGGGTTAACCTTTTCCCCGGGACCCGGGAAGTTTTTGGCGGGAAGAGGGAGGGAGGAGATTGAGGCGGCGGCGGGAGAGCAGAAATATAAAACCCTGTCTTGTTTTCAGAGAAACATGGTAAATTATCTGTTGTGACTTCAGTGAATGATTTCACATTTCCCTCACTGTGTAGTCACATTATTTAGCTTGTTGTAGTATTGATTGAAAAACAATAGTATTCTGGCACTTTAAAAACTAATAAATTTTAGTAAAAGCTTTCATGGATTACATTTCTTGAGACACATGGGGTACAATATTTAGGCCATACTGTATATCCAGTCTTGTTAGCCTGCTGCTGCAAAACCAACCACAATGGCACCTTAAAGACCAAGAAATTTGAATGGGCATAAGCTTCAATGGGGAAGGGACGTGGTGGCGCTGTGGGCTAAACCGCAGAAGCCTGTGCTGCAGGGTCAGAAGACCAAGCAGTTGTAAGATCAAATCCACATGACGGAGTGAGCTCCCGTCGCTTTGTCCCAGCTCCCGCCAACCTAGCAGTTCGACAGCATGCAAATACGAGTAGATTAATAGGGACCACCTGGGTGGGAAGGTAGCAGCGTTCCGTGTCTTAAGTCGCACTGGCCATGTGACCACGGAAGATTGTCTTCGGACAAAACGCTGGTTCTATGGCTTGGAAACAGGGATAAGCACCACCCCCTAGAGTTGAACACGACTGGATAAAAATTGTCAAGGGGAACCTTTACCTTTAAGCTTTCATGGACCACTCATTGCCCACTCCTTCAGATCCCTTTCGTTTTTAAGATGACACCAGGCTCTTTTCTTTTCTACCTGAATATACATTCCCTTCAAAGTCAGAATTAGTATTTCTCTTCACTTGCACTACCCCTGCCTCTGTAACGCCCAGCCTGATGAAGATTCCTGCAGCAACAAAAAGCTAGATTTTACTTGTGATACTTCTATTATTTAATAAAGGTAAAATCCTCCCTGTCTTTGGATGGTGCACAAGGACCACATTGCCCCTCCTTTACAGTATTTGTTCGTGCCTCCGTTGCTGGTCGACAGGCAAACGCCCTTGTACTCATGTCCCGCTTGTGGGAAGACATTTGGAGTGAACTGCTGAATGAAGAATGAACGGACCACTGGATAACTAGGTGCGATCCATCATGGATCACAGCATGATCCAGCACAGTGCTTCTTCTGTTCTAATCACAAGGGGCAAATAAATAAATAAATAAATAAATTTATCTTCAGTGCCACAGGGTTATTGCCTGTGTAATCTACAAAACTGCAATATGTTGCATGTCCATCTTGTTTGAACTTCTGTGTTGTTCCTTCAGTGCTGGGAGAGTAAGGCTGTTGGGTTGAAGGCTTTCCGGGGTGGATCATCGATCTAGTCTTTTCACCCGCAGCGGAGGAAAAGGGGGGGATCAAAATAACCCGAAAACTCGATTCTACAGATGAAATAATGGCGACCACCAGGAACAACAACAACAACAAAAACCGTTACTGGCTTTCAAGTCGATACAGACGGAGCGATCTTAGGGTTTCCCAGATCGGATCTTTTAAGGGATGGTTTTTAAACCAGTGCCAACCCCTCCCCCGTGAGTTTCTATGGCCAAGCGAGGATCTGAATGCAGGTCTCCTTGACTCCCAGTCCCCCTTTGCTGTAGGCTACACTAAAATCGCTCGCAAATGCCAATACGTGGCCTCCTCGCTCGTCTTTTCTGGTCCGAAACGACCTCGGCCGCCCTGGTCCTGCCGTGCCGCCGTCGCTGCCTCCTCCTCCTCCTCCTCCTTCTCCACAGCTCCAAACGAAGTTGTTGTGGTCCGTTGGGGCCTCCCTCTTCCTTTTTTCCCTCCTCCCAACGCTGGCTGGCTCGCCAGCCAAAGGATTACAGAGGCAGGCGGGGTGAAATCAAACATGGCGGCAATGACGGCCGGGGCTGTGTTGGCAGCGGCCGGTCCGGAGGGAGGTGGCGCTGCCGCCGCCGCGCCCGGAGCTCGCCTGCGAAAAGCGGCCGAGTGAGCGAATCGCGCCAAACACTTCCCTCAGCAGCAGCAGCAGCAGCAACAACAGCGCCCTTTCGTCCACCCCACACGAACTCCCCCCCTAACAACCTTTCTTGCTCCCCGCCCGTGGTGGTGGTGGTCGACATGGAGGCTGTAGGGACCGGGGAGGAAGGCGAAGAGCCTCCGAAAAGGGTCCGCGTCCTCGGTTCCGAGCTGGTGGAGAACTACACGGTGAGGCGGGGGGTCGCGTAAGGAAAGGAAGCGGGGACTTGGAGGGGGCTTTCCTGAGAGGGAGGTGGTTTCGCTTTCTCTGAGGAACCCCCATGAGGGGGAAACGAGAGCTTTTGGGTCACCCCTCTCGGTCTGTGGGGAAATAGAGCAAGACTTCCATGTCGCGACCTCGGGGATGGGTTGGCGGGTGAGGAGGGGGGAGATGCCTGAGGTGTTTTGCTTGAAAGGAGTACTGGTCGCGGATCCGAAGTTACTTTGCTTACGCCTCCGGTTGTGGTCAACCACAGGAGAATGAACCGCGGCCCTACGTCAATATTATTTCCTGAGGCTGGCCGTTTGTCGCCGAGTTACATCGGAGTCTGCCTTGGGCTGGGCTTCATGGGGGTAGGAGGGGAAGAGAATAATTCACATGATGTTTCTTTCTGCGAGTGGACATGGCCGTTTTCCGATCCTGAATAATAAGTGCTGAATAATAACCATCATAATATGCCATCGAGTCTATTCTGTCAGGTCTCCGAAGACGCAGTCGAATTGCTTACAAGGCTTTTGTTCTGTATTTTACTTTCTCTATAAAAGGTTCAGTTGCAAGACACTTGGAAACTAGATTGAAAAACGTAACAAACGTGGTCTACCTCTGTGTGTGTGTGTGTGTATGTGTGTGTGTGTGTTAAGTAAATCAATCTGGAAGGGTACACTGGTGGGCTGGTGACCAGTCCAAATTAAATACTGTATTTGGGCGACTTGTGCAACTGGTGAAACACCAGGGTACAGTATACCTGATCTTTCTGAAATACAGTCACAGAGGGAAAGGAGATGCATGGATTTGTTTCACACTGGTTGTGGCAATACTGTCACCATTATTACAGGTATTATCCTTTTATACAGAGTTGTGTATATAGAGCAGTACGAATAATACATGCCTCAGTTTTAAGAGCAAGCACACCCAGACCGTTGTTACATAACTAAAAATGGATGTGTCTCCCCGTTTACAGTTAACTGAGCCATTTTCTTGAATGAATGTGTTTGAATATTATCTACATTATACTGATTTTTTTTAAAAAAAATAATCTGAATGGATGAAGCATAGCAGTTTAAAACATGTTTATGTTCCAGTTCTAATATTCCATAGTTAGGCTTTCATCAGTTTCAATGTGATTTGCATTTAAAGTGTTGAGAATGAGAATGATCATGAAAACCTCTTCAGACTTATTTGGGGGATACATGAAGAAACATTATGCAAGGTGAGGATTGTAAAAATATTTCTCCCTTTTCATTATATAATTTCATATATGAAAGATAAGCAAAAATAGACAATTTAAATGCATTACATTAACGTTTTAAGCTTTGGTCCGTTTGATAAATGTATGATAAAGTCATAATGTACAGTGTAGGAAAAACATATAAAAAGTATTTTTCTTTCATTGGAAGAAGAAAATGAATGTCTTTGGACAATGGTGTTACCAGTCCTTCCAACACAGAGCAAAGAAACTGAGAGACAGCCTGCTGAAGAACCATAGTGAGAATAAGAAAACTGTACAGTGGTGCCTCGCTTGATGACGACCCCATTAGACGATGAAATCGCTTTACGATTGCGATCGCAAAAGATGTTTCTATGGTTTTTTTTCGCTTTATGTCGATTTGCTCCCTGCTTCGGGAACCGTTTTTTCGCTGGACAATGACTCCCTGCTGTTTTCTGGACCTATTTTCACAACACAGGGATCATAAAATGGCCACTCTATGGAGGATCTTCGCTGGACAATCAGGTATCTCCCCCCATTGGAACGCATTAACCGGTTTTCAATGCATTCCAATGGGTTTTTTTCGCTTGACGACAATTTCGATTAACAGCAATTTTCCTGGAAAGGATTATCGTCATCAAGCGGGGCACCTCTGTAGTTACAACATGATATTCAATTCTTACTCTTTTAGATATGTAGGATCTTTAAGTGATGTATAGTCTGGTAAGTAGTAAGTATAAATAAATAACTTAATGCCAACATTCCCTGACAGACAGAAGGATTGCTTTATGAGAGATGACTCCCTGCAAAGTGACCCTTTCAGGTCCTGTGGGTCCTAAAAGCACTGGCCAGCATATCCAATTTTTTGTTGTTGTTGTTTAGGCGTTAAGTTGTGGCCTCATGGACTAGAGCACGTCAGGCCCACTGTCTTCCACTGCCTCCCTTAGTTGGGTCAAAGTCACGTTGGTAGCTTCGGTGACACTGTCCAACCATCTCGTCCTCTGTCATCCCCTTCTCCTCTTGCCTTCACACTTTCCCAACATCAGGGTCTTTTCCAGGGAGTCTTCTCATGAGATGGCCAAAGTATTGGAGCCTCAGCTTCAGGAACTGTCCTTCCAGTGAGCACTCAGGGTTGATTTCCTTCAAAATGGATAGGTTTGTTCTCTTTGCAGTCCCGAGGACTCTCAAGAGTCTCCTACAGCACTGTCACCATCTGCAGTGATCACCGAGCCCAAGAAAGTAAAATCTGTCACTGCCTCCATTTCTTCCTCTTCTATTTGCCAAGAGGTGATGGGACCAGTGGCCATGATCTTAGTTTTTTTGATGTTGAGCTTCAGACCATTTTTGGCGCTCTCCTCTTTCACCCTCATTAAGTGGTTCTTTAATTCCTCCTCACTTTATGCCATCAGAGTGGTTTCATTTACATATTGGAGGTTGTTGATACTTCTTCTGACAATCTTAATTCCAGCTTGAGATCCAGTCCAGCCTTTCGCATGATGTATTCTGCATATAAGTTAAATAAGCAGGGAGACAATATACAGCTTTGTTGTACTCCTTTCCCAATTTTGAACCAATCAGTTGTTCCATATCCAGTTCTAACTGTTGCTTCCTGTCCCACATATAGATTTCTCAGGAGATAGATAAGGTGGTCAGGCATTCCCATTTCTTTAAGGACTTGCCATAGTTTGTTGTGGTCGACACAGTCAAAGGCTTTTGCATAGTCAATGAAGCAGAAGTAGATGTTCTTCTGGAAGTCTCTGGCTTTCTCCATAATCCAGAGCATGTTAGCAATTTGGTCTCTAGTTCCTCTGCCCCTTCAGAATCCAGCTTGTACTTCTGGGAGTTCTCGGTCCACATACTGCTGAAGCCTACCTTGTAGGATTTTGAGCATAACCTTGCTAGCGTGTGAGATGAGTGCAGTTGTACGGTAGTTGGAGCATTCTTTGGCACTGCCCTTCTTCGGGATTGGGGTGTAGACTGATCTTTTCCATTCTTCTGGCCACTGCTGAGTTTTCCAAACTTGCTGGCATATTGAGTGTAGCACCTTAACAGGTCTTTTAAGATTTTAAATGATTCAACTGGAATGCCATCACCGCCACTGGCCTTGTTAGTTGTGCTTTCTAAGGCCCACTTGATTTCACTCTCCAGGATGTCTTGCTCAAGCTCAGCAGCCACACTATCTGGGTTGTCCAGGACATCCAGATCTTTCTAATATAATTCCTCTGTGTATTCTTGCCACCTCTTCTTGAGAAGTCTCCTGCTTCTGTGACGTCCCTACCATTGTTGTCCTTTATCATGTTCAGTTTTGCACAAAATGTTCCTGCAATATCACCAATTTTCTTGAACAGATCTCTGGTTTTTCCCTTTCTGTTATTTTCCTCTATTTCTTTTCACTGTTTGTTTAAGAAGGCCCTCTTGTCCCTCCTTGCTATTCTTTGGAAGTCTGCATTCAATTTTCTGTAACTTTTCCTATCTCCTTTGCATTTTGTTTCCCTTCTCTTCTCTGCTATTTGTAAGGCCTCGTTGGAAGCCACTTTGCTTTCTTGCATTTCCTTTTCTTTGGGATGGTTTTTGTTGCTGCCTCCTGTACAATGTTACGGGCATTTTGCAGTATTGTGTTACAACACTATTGGTTCTAAACAAGCCAGGATCTAGATATGAGAACCAACCTAGATTGCAATTACAGCTGGAAAGTGGAAGAACATGGTGCAAGCACTTTGTCAAATTAAGTTCCAGCTCCTTTTTAGTTTAGGTGTTCTCACTGATGATGGAATCAAAGCAGGAGCAGATGGGTTGAGTTGCAGCTTGTTCACAGTAAGCCAGGATTCTTTGGCTTACTGTTGTGTTCAGACATGACTGTTACCTTATTGAACATTCCCAGTCTGTGGGCCATTGCTTTGTTTTCTATATTGAACCCCTTTAAGAACATGTAATGAATAGCAAGGTAAGGGTCTCTGAGAAGCTTATCTGTCAGAGAGCCACTTCGCATCTTTCTGTTAGGGAATTCCACAAGGAAATTGTGCTTAAGGAAGGCACCAGTGTCCAGCAGCCATTATACTATCAGTTTGTATTTGATTTCTGAATGCATAATGGCCAGTTCACAAAAAGAGGCAAAATCTACCTCATTTGGATTTTTACAGGCTTTGGGGTTAACCAGAGATATCCAACAGGGTGTGCCATTCATTTTTTGACTGCCGATTCTAGGAAGTTAGACAGAGGGCAGAAAGTTTTCGAGCTTACCTTTCTTCCAGGAAAGCCAAATTTAATATCTGTCTTATCTGTCAGGTTGGACTCTCAGAATGGAAAATTCTGAAATTTATAATTCAGAAATATCCAATGGCGTGTTCTTAATAGCTAACAGCCCAGTCAAATGCAAGGGTCCACCCATACTAATCTGTTTGGCAGTAGTATTATAATAATTATACTGTCATCTGATTGATTCTAATTTCAAGGAAGTGATCAATTTTCTCAATTTGATGTTGAGTCCATTAATGTCACTACTTTGAAATTAAGTTGTGGCCTTTTAAAAAAACTATGCTGTGGTATGCTGTGTAGAAAACAGAAAGCTAAAGATTTCCCCTCCAGTAATGTGGCATGATTGAAGTAAAGCAGTCTTGAGTTCCATTGATGTCACATGGTTTGACTTAAGGATGTGATTACTCACACATTGAAAGCTAGAATCCTTTGGCTGGATTGTGCCTACATTTAGATGCCTCACTCTCCACATCTGCTCATAAATATTGTATTTCAAAGAATTCTAAA